GGAATGAAAACATTTCCATGAGAGCCAAAATACAAGCATTAGTTTATCCCACATGAATTTAAAAACCATCTCAAGAACAGACAGGATGCATTAAACTCTAATGACACAAGACCTGATGTGTCATTAGAAAAGGTCATTAAAAAGACAGGAAAGGAAAAAAAAAGAATAAAATGGATGTTAGAATACATTCTGAAACTTGCTCTAAAATATATTGAAACTAAAGCAAAATGAAGAAATGGTGAGATAAGAGAACTGAACAGACTTCAAAGGGCAGCTAGAGAAGACAAAGTAAAGTATTATAATGAAATGTGCAATGACCTGGAATCAGATAACCAAAAGGGAAGAACATGTTCAACATTTCTCAGCCTGGAAGGACTGAACAACAAATTCAAATATCAAACAGCAATTCTGAAGGAATTTATGGGCAAAATACTGAATGATGCAAAAAGAATTTAAAGAAGATAGAAGGAATACACAGTCTAGCAAAAATAACTGGTTGACTCTAAACCATTTCAGAAAGTAGCATATGATCAAAAGCATAAGAACCAATAGGTACTGAGAGAAATCCAAACTGTACTAAAGACACTGGCAAAAACCAAGCTCCAGAAATTGACAGAGTAGCAGTTTAGGTGTTTCAGCAAACAGATGCAACCCTGGATGTACTCACTAGTATATGCCAAAAAGTTTGGAAAATGGCTGGACTACCTGTCCAACAGACTGGAAGATATCTCATGCCAAAAAAATGTGACCCAACAAAATGCAGAAATTATTGAACCCTAGCATTAATACCACACACAAGTAAAATACTGCTGAACATTATTTAAAGGTGGCTGGTATAGCCCATTGAGAGGGAACTGCCAAAAATTCAAGCTGGACTCAGAAAGGACTATCACTGGTGAGGTCAGGTAGAACTTGACTGAAAGCAAAGAAAACCAGAAAGATGTCTACTTATGTTTCATTGCGTATGCAAAGATAATCTACTCTATGGATCATAACACACTACAGACTATATTAAGAATAATGGGAATTCCAGAACACTTAATTGTCCTCATCTGTACACAGACCAAGGAGCAGCTGCTCTTCTGGAACAAAGGTATATTGCACAGTTTATAAAATCAAGAAAGGTGTGCATCAGAGTTGTTTCCCTGCTCCATACCTATTAAATTTGTATGCTGATCAAATAATTAGAGATGCATGACTATACGACAGGCAATGTGGCATCAAGACTAGAGAAAAACTCATAAAAAACTTGTGTTATCCACTGTTCAGGGTTGTGAAGAAGGAACCACCCCAGCCTTGAGGAGCATCTGAAGCCACTTCCTCTGAAGCCCATGGGCAGCAGATAAGGAAACCCAGATGCCACTGCAGCTTAAGCTGGGAATATGGCAAACATTCAGACTGCATGTGCCTACCCAAAACAGCTGACCATCTTCCCGGACAACAAAAAGAGGGTGCTGCTAGGTGAAATCGTCAACGAGAAGCTTCCACATTATTACAACAACATCAGCTGGGCTTCAAGACACTCTGGAAGGCCACCGAGGGCACCTACATTGACAAGAAATGCCCTTTCACTGGTAATGTCTTCACCCGAGGGCAAATTCTGCCTGGCGCAGTGACGAAGATGATGATGCAGAGGACCACTGTCATCTGCTGAAATGACCTCCACTACATCTGCAGGTACAATTGCTTCGAGAAGTGCCACAAGAACATGTCTGTGTACCTGACTCCTGCTTCAGATGTCCAGATCAGTGGCATTGTCACCGATGGTGAGTGTTGGCCACTGAGTAAGACTGGGCACTTAAGCATGCTCAATATCACCACGGCCACTGACTCAGACAGCACCCTTAAGTGAAAGAAGTCTATTTCCTTCCCCCTTAAAAAAAAACCTACCAAAATCCAAAGCCTGTATTAGGCAGGTAACACAACTTTGCTTGCCGAAGTGAAAGAGGCTTGAAAGATGCACTAAATCTCAAAGACTACAGTCCTCAATATGGATTACACCTCAATAAAAGAAAGTAAAAATCTTCACAACTGAACTAGTAGCCATGATCATGAAAGACACAGGCAGAAAAGACTGAAGTTGTCAATTATTTCATTTTACTTAGAACCAAAATCAAGTCATGGTAGAAGTCAAGAAATAAAAAGAAATGTTGCACTGGGAAAATCTGCTGTCAATAACCTCTTTAAAGTGATAGAGAAAGTGTCAAGTTAAAAACTAAGGTGCATCAGACCCCAAGCTATGGTATTTTCAATTGGTACATCCATGAAAGGCAGACATTGATAAGGAATAGCAAAGAAGAAAAGAATTTTGAAATGTGGTGTTAGCAGAGAGACCTGAATATTCATAAACTGCTAAAAGAACAATCCAATCTGTCTTACAGGAAGTGCAAGTGGGGTGGTTCCTTAAAGGCAAGGAAGTGAACTGTCATCTCATATACTCGGACATATCAGGACATGCCAGTCCTTGCAAAGGACAATACGTTGGGCAAAGTAGGTCTGTAAGAGAGGAAGATGCTTAACAAAGATGGATTCAAACAGTGACTGAAATAATGGGCTTGACTATACCTTAGATTTTGATGATGATGAAAGATGGGGCAAAGTTTCTTAATTTTTAATTGTATTTTCCTCTTCATATAACTTATTTTTTTGGAGAGGAGGAACTAAAATCTACGGCAAAGGATCTGTTTATTTTAAAATTCTTTTTTGCTTGACTGAAAATTTACAATTCACATTGAATTTTCATTCAATCATTTACATTTTCTTTCATAACAAAATAATGGTTATAAACTTTTTGTGTACACTCAGTGGGCAAGATCTACTCTGTCCTATCGGGTAGCTATGTACTGGGATAAATTTGACACCATGCAGTAAAAGCAAAATCTTTATAAAAAATAAAGGTATACTTAATCATATGATCCAGCAATGTCTAGATCTTTTTTCAGAATAAATAAAAACATGTGCAAAGTCTATGTGCACATGTACATAGCTTTATTAAGAATTGTCAAAACATTAAATTTTTTATCCACTAAAAATGACAATAAAAATATTTTTCCAAGTGGTAAAAAAAAAAGAATTGCCAAAACAATGTGAAAAATTCTTATATCTACTAGCTGGTGAATGACTTAAAAAGACTGTGATGCATTCATAGTATAGAAATCTATGGAGTAATGTACAGGAACAAATTACTGCAACAAAAACAAATCTACATATCTCAATATATTATGCAAAGTGTAGGAAAAAAGACTGCAATAAAGGCTGTGATGGTAAATGCTGCATGTTCACATGGTCATGATCCTCAGTATGATGTGACTATCCTAAGTTTTATAAATGCTAACCTCTGCGATGGAATGAGATAGGAGTAGAGGCAATTGTGTAAAAATATGATAAGCCTTGTCTTATGAGGGTGCAATCTACTCAGGGATGTGGCCTAAATTGAATAGATGTTTGGACTCTCTGGTAAAAACCTAGTGACCTGCTATACTTGGGACTATATGGTATGATTCCATCATATCATATTCTAAAGAAAAAGCACAACTAAACAAAACTGCAAAAATAGAAAACATATCCATGTTTGCAAGATGCTTGCCATACAGAGGGAAATGCACGAGAGGACTCTTTGGGAATACTAGAAAGGTTTTGTGTCTTAATTACCCTAGCGGTTACAGAATTGTATAAATTAGATAAAATGTAAATAATTTATACAAAAGAATAATTCATTTTTATGTATAGAACTGCTTTAATAAGTCTGACTTTTAAAAGTCTACATTATGGATAAGTGCTCAGTCTAAGAACACAGAAAAAAAAAAGTCTACATAAGAATTTTTGTATATTTTTATAATCATGGGTAAAAGTCCAATCATACATCAAAATGATTCTTAAATCTTTCCAAAATGGTCCTAAAGTGTTTCTCGCTATCACTTTGTCTGAAATGCTTCATTTCTGTGAAGGTCATGATTGAGGAGAAAGTTCACTTCAGAATCCTAATAAACATGGGATATGTTAACAGCCGTTAAGGGTCTCAGCCATGTAATAAAGCCTGTTTATTTACTTCACTATAGATGCAGACTTCAACATGGATTGAAACTCAATATCAAGAAAACAGATTCTCACCACTGGGCCAACTGGCAGCATCAGTATGGATGGTGAAGAGAATGAGATTGTTAACAGTTTCCGTTTACTTGGTTCCACAGTCAACACTCTTGGTAACAGCAGCCAGGAAATCAAGAGACGAATTGCATTGGGAAAGTCAGCTGTGAGGGACCTCTCAGGAGTACTGAAGTGCAGCAACGTCACGCTGGAGACTAAGGTGCGCCTGATCCAGGCTGTAGTCTTTGCAATTACATGCTATGCATCGGTGAGTTGGACAGTGAATAGGGATGATAGAAACAGAATTGGTGCCTTTGTGTTGTGGTGCTGGAGAAGAGTGTTGAATATACCATGGACTGCTAGGAGAACAAACAGGTTTGTCCTGGAGAGGGTGAAGCCAGAATGTTCCCTGGAGTCAAGGATTCTGAAGCTTTGTCTGACATACTTTGGGCATGTTGCAAGGAGGGACTGGTCCTTGGAGAGGGACATCATGTTTGGGAGAGTGGAAGGACGGTGCAGGAGAGGAAGATCCTTGATGAGATGGATCGATTGTGTGAGAGGAGTGGTGGGAATGAATGTGTTTGAGACAGCGAGGTTGGCACAGAATAGAATGCCGTTTAGGGCTCTTGTATATAGGGTCGCAATGAGTTGCAAACGACTAGATGGCACATAACAACAACAACAACAACAAATAGATGATACAAATAACTGATATAAGCAGTAATTCCTTTATAGAGCAAAATAACTTTTACAAGCAGTAATTACTAGTCATTTTAACCTTTTGTTTTCTTTGATGTAGTAACTGAAGCTCCATGAAAACAAACACTTCGTTCATGGTATATCTGCAATTTATGTCTGAAATAGTACCTTGTTCTAAAGGAATGATTTGCTAAATAATTACATTTTAGACTTACCATTAATTCAATATCACTGCCAATTATATACAGTTGATCTTCCATGGAAAGCTTCCTGTTCAAATGGGAGAGAACATAAGTGATTCCAGGTAAACGCACTGCAGGACTGGTAAGCAGACTACCCCAGAGGGCACTGTAGAAGGCAGACTGGTCCACTGCAGCAGCGACCTTTTCCAATAGTGTGTTTGTTCTGAGACACAAAACAAAATGATTTTAGAAGGGAAAAATGTCACATTCTTCAAAGAAAGAAATCATTATTCTCTTCCAGAATTTATGAAAGCATCCATGCTATGTTCTACTTCAGAAACAAGTTTAATAAGACTGGAACGTACCTATAGTTTAGCTTGAGAGGACTGGATGTAAGTACCCAGCCCACCAAAGAACTCTGGGAAAATAATCTTTCTAGAGTTTCCTCAAATATGAAATGAAGGTAACATTACCAAAACCAATTCAAATCCTTTCTACTTCACTGGTATGTTAAGCTACTCTAAGTAACAAAATGTCCATTTTCTTTAATAGCAAGCCTATACTATAATATAGCATCTGTTCTTCACAAAGAAGTCCAGCACATGTTTCTTTCTTATACAGTGTTAAATCATACACTAGATAATTCACAATAACAAGTGAGACCTACAACAAAATTACAGATACAGTATTTGTTTACTAAGGACCAAATGAAAGACTAATCACTATCTGTTTTAAACACAAGATAAATATAAAACAAAAATCTATTACATTGAACTACTAAAGAGTCAAAGGCATGATAATTTGATAAATTCCACTGATTATTTGTGATGTAGTTTAATGCTACCACTAATATCCCTTCTGACCTCCATTTACACATTTAAAAAATCATTATTTACAAACTTTGTATATAGAATTTGTTTGCAATAACTAGCAAAGCAGAAATTACAAGAATATCTCCGTCATCAAAATCATTATTCAATCTATTAAATTTTTACCTATAATTAATGGGGTTATAAAACAGTATTGATTCCATACTTCTCTTAGGAGACCAGAATAATTAAAAAGTGGTTTATAAACAACACAACCTCACATCAATGCTTTAAAGATGTAAGGAAGTAAGTAGAAGGTTAAGAAAAGCAAATTATAAAAACTGAGTTAAAAAAATTTATATCAAAGAAGCTTGTAAGAGGAATACATTATTTTTTTCAGGATTTGGATTCTTATAATAACATTATAAGAGGAACTGAAATAGGAGATAGAGTAGCCGATAGATACACCAGAATAAATTATTTTCATTTAAATAAGTAGGCTTACTCACAAAATGTTTAAATCTTTTTTGCTACCTCAACCCATCCTCTAAGAATATCAATAATAATATATTAGAAAGATACTGAATATATCTGAATGTATTTATCTACAACTATTCAACTCTAGTAAATAAAAGGACAAAACCCAGATGAAATAATTTTCTTTTAGCAGTCAGTTATATTAGGAGAGAAGCAGCCATGTTGTTCCTGGTTGGCTGGCTCCTCGCAGGGTCTTGGGAAGCTCTCCTTGCCAGAAGGAGCATGGTGGTGTGAGAGCAGGAATCGTGGCAAGCTTTTGGAGTCGATGCTTTTCCGGGAATGTATTTGATGTGCAGGTTTGCTCTGTCCCCGGAGTGAGGCTAGCCAGCATGGGCCTAGGGTTTGAACCAGGAGGCGGCCTTAAGCCCAAAGAGCCCTTGGGCCAGGTTCAAATTGTCTTCCTGTCAAACATTCTTCTAGGTGGTATAGCACTGGTCTGTGCATTGCTGTACAGAGGTAACTCGTGGTTGCTGTGATGCTGAAGACTGTGACAGTGATGTGCCAATCGTGGTAATGGGTACCCATGGTGGACAGTGTTGGCTGAAGCTTCCCAACTAAATCAAGCCTGGAAGCAGGAGCGGCATCCACTTCCGAAACGGCTTGCCTCCAGAAACTCTATGTACGAACAGTGCTCAGGCCGTTTGTTCATAAGGTCGCTATGAGTCCTCTATGAGTCGACGGCATCAAACAACAACAACAACAATGAAACAGAATCTCCTTGAGTGCTAGGTTATTTTCTACCATTATCAACACAGAAATCCTTGGCACATGTCACAATTTCTTATCCTTTTTATTAACACTAAAGACCTATATTTTACCTTATCTTAAATTATGAGTCAAAATCTTTTTGGGGGACTTCTATGTACTAGACACTACAGTAACTTATTTTATTACTGGAATAACACAGAAATTGGCATTATGCATATTTTGGACATGAAGAAATGGAATCTCAAAGACAGATGTTGTTTATTGTTATGTGCCGTTGAGTCGTTTGCAACTCATAGCGACCCTATTTACAACAGCCCTAAACCCTGCTCTATCCTGTGCCAATTGCATTGCCTCTGATACACCCATCCTGGTTACCCCAGTCACTGAATCAATCCACCTCATAGAGGGTCTTCCCCTCCTGCGCTGTCCCTCCACTCTACCCAGCATGATGTCCCTCTCCAAAGACCTGTCTCTCCTTGCAACATGTCCAAAGTATGTTAGACGAAGCCCCAGAATCTTTGCCTCCAAGGAGT